TGGTCTCCTCTGATCAGAATGTGGACTCTGAAAGAGGGGTCAAAGACGCAACATCTTAAAAGACCATATTTTTGCTCAACAGACTAAATGCCTATCCCAGTAAAAGCATTTTTAATCACACTCATCAATATTTAAAATAACAAAACTAGAATAATGATGAAAAAAGCAATATTAGGTCATCTAGAACCTGTGAAAGACTTCTGAACATCAAGCAGAAATCAGGTAATATATAAAGATTTTGACATTTTAGAATTCTATTTTTCTGAGTCCTTCAAATGAAACTGAAAGGGTTTGTCATAACCCATAAGATGGCTGTAGTCTTGAGCATAATTAAAAAGGAATGGGTTAACAAGCATTGCTCTTCTTTTAACATAAAATGTTGTGAAGATCTTGCTCATTTCTGGAACAGTCACATCTTTTTGATGGAATAAAGTTTTCTTTTGTCTCAAAATGCCACTATATGTAATTGCTGTATATGTGTCCGTTTTATCTTTATGGTACAGACGGATAATATACCTTCTAGTAAATAAATGTAAAAGAAGTGGTGTTAGGAAAATAAAGAATAGCGTGGCACTATAAAAAGCAATTTCTGAATAGAGTTTGTCAAAATTTAAGCCATACTTGTGTATGATACCAAACAACATGGAAGCAGTAATTATACTGGTGGTAACACAGAAAATCTTCACTCCTGCAAGAAAAAGAAAAAGATGTTAATAGTTAAGAGGTTCAAATTGGCTCCCAACCACATATATGGCATACACCTAGACCAGTGGTGGCAAACCTATGGCACGGGTGCCAGAGGTGGCACTCAGAGCCCTTTCTGTGGGCACGCACGCCGTCGCCCCAGTCCTAGGCCTTCAGCTGGGTTTTATAAAACCTTTTCGCTTTAGGCCTCCGCCACCATGTGCAAAAAAAAAAAGGTTCAATCAATCAATTTCAACTTCTTGCGGGGAAAAAAAAGATCTTGCAAAGTTGGAATTGATGATTGAACTTTTTAGTCCCACCCAGTCTGCCGTTACCACCGCAGCCACGCCCACCCAATGGGCCACGCCTAGCCAATGGGCCACACCCACCCAATGGGCCATACCCACCCGGCACCCGATGATGCATAAATGGGTTTTGGGTTGCAGTTTGGGCACTCGGTCTTTAAAAGGTTCGCCATCACTGACCTAGACAGTAATTCAAGAACTATGCAGTACTAAGTTCCATTTACATCCATTTTCTGGAAGAGCCATCTTCCCTCAACAGGATTGGCTTCGGAATTGATATAGTTCAGTTAACAGAGCTAAATGAAATATTTAACAATATGCAGCAGTTTGAATGGGAAGCTGAAGAGATACTTCCTGCCTCTTTTATCATTCCTGTAAGAAAGACAGCTTTTCCTGGGCTTCCATGGTTGCCAGAAAAAGCTGTACAAAGGTTCTTGTTTAGCAATCCCAATTAAGACTAGCAGCTCTGTTAAATGAAATATTTGCTAAATGGAAAATCATTGTGCTTTCCTTTTTCCCAGCCCTCCCACGCTTTGGGATGCTCAATTCTGAGAGCTGGGAAAACCTGCTTGAAATTGACAAGACTAATCAGTTTCACACCTTCCACTTTTGCTTCCCTCCTAACTACACCCCTGCCTTTGAATGCTCACCCTAGCTGAATACTGGGATAATTAACAGGAAGGCAATTAATGGTTGTATTTACATTTGTTGGAGAAGGATTACAAGAGAATATGTAAGCACACAATGAGGAATACACATCAAAAGCAATGTGGTGGCACCAGCAGCTATAAACATGCTATGCAAATAGTCCAGTATATTACCCATTGTCTGCTTAATTTCCTGTAATCCCTTTCATTCTAATTTTCTTTTCTGGGGAAACAAGCAGTTTCTAAAGCAATACCTTCTGGACCTGACTCGTTTTCCCTCCCAACACCCAGAGTGGAGACACTGGAGTGGAAGGGATTACAAGAGATCACCCCTTTGTTACAAAATCCCACTCTTTTGTTACAAATCTAAGATATATGCCACTGGTATGAAGAATGTCTTTAAAACTTGCTAGTTAGCT